AATAATCAACTGTGGTTGGTCAATTTCTTAAGGTTAGGAATGAAAGTAAAGTTATGGACAAGAAGTCACAGTCGTTGATTCTTCTTACGGTCCAAGAATTAACGACTGTGATTGGTCAATTTGCTTACTGCTTACGTTTTACTACTTAAGTTTTTCTGTGTGCCACTAGCCTTACGGCTTCTATAAATGGGCCTTTAGTTTACCAAAAGGTTGGAAAAATCGGCTCTTAATCAATCGACTGTACGTATCAATTTTTACACACATGAAGATATTGGCATATGGAATAAAGTTCTGGTGTTTGTTAGTCATCATTATAAAAAAAAAGAAAAACATTAGAAATATAAGAAAAAAGTTTATGATATTCAGATCACTTATACATTAGCATTACTAGCAGAGATGGCGCTAAGTTCTTCATAACGCGAAACCAATTCGCTCCGGCTCATTTGTTGCAAGTACCATCGGAATAGTCGATGCATTTCGCGACAAAATTTTTATCTTTATACGTTAAATTTTTATCGTCTAAACGCGGTTGATAAGAAACTAGATGAAGCAAGGTATGTTCCCTTTCATTCGTTACAACTTGAGATCAATGCAAACTTGCATAATTACATCATATGCAGAAGGAAACCAATCAGCGACAATCCATACAGTAAAAGAATATTCTTCATATTAGACTTACAATTAGTCGATTTCTTTGTGCATATTATACGACTTTGTAAGTTTGTCCGAACAGGCTTTAATTCACAGTCTCTTTGTCGCAGACACAGAACTCTAGAGATGCATCAGCGCATTCCCAACAGTTTTTACTCTTGCATTATCTGTACATTATCTGATCGATAGGTATAAGGGACAATTCACACCTTAGTAGAGGAAAACAGAAAGGCAGGAGCCAATCAGATATGCTGTGATCAGATGATAGTTCTGTTTTTGCGAGTTTTGATTGGCTTCTGCTTTTCTATCAAAGTGTGATTCTTCCTATGAAACACGTATAAAGCAAAGTGTGCGTCATTCACAAAAAGAACCCCGCACAAAACCTATGGAAAATGGTTTTCGGTCAAATTAGCTGAAATTTCACTATGTTATAGTTTTCGCCATGCTGATAAAAAGTTATCATTGCACCAAATCCCAAAAGTCAATATTTCCCAAGATATAAAGGGTCAAAGTAGTGAAATATGGTTATCCGCAGTAGTAAGATGTATGTTATAAGTATAAGTGATACATTGATATTTATTCACGAAATAAATAAAAATCGATTTTTAC